TTTTGCCATGTATGGTGATGGTGCCGCTAATCAAGGGCAGTTGTTTGAGGCTTTGAATATGGCTGCTTTGTGGGATCTTCCTGCTATTCTAGTTTGTGAGAATAATCACTGTAAGATACTCAACTCAATCCACCATTTTCACTAGATTTCCAACTAATGCCTTTGAAAGATTTGCTAAACTATTACACACCGTCAATCCGTAGAACTTAAACTCATACTTTGTGGACGTTTGGACATAAGAATTGTGAAATTCCGAAAAAATATGGAAAAATAAATTTAAGGGAAAATGGTATTTGAAAATTAGAGTTGTGTTTGGACATAGAATACAATTTGAAGCTGTTCTGTTTTTTCTTTTTTTTTTTTTTTTTTTTTTGAGTGAGTTGAAGTGAAAATTTTGTTCGTGAGTGAGTTGAAGTGAAAATTTTGAAAAATATTTTTTTGGAGTTTTTCAAATTTTCGGAAAATCTCAAAATTCAACTTAAACACTAATTCCGGAAAAAGGTTACTAATTTTTCTCCAAAATAGTGAAAATTTTCTTATGTCCAAACGGGCTGTCCTCATTTTAATATGACATTCTTTCCCTTTCATCCTATCACAAAAAATGACATCTTTTCTATGTTTAGAAATAATTTAACTTTAAACTTCTCTTTTTATGAGATGATTTATAGCCATAGAATTATCTATGGAATATTTTAGAGGACAAGGGCCAAAAATTTTTCTTAAGCTCCGTGCCTAGTCAAACAACATCACATAAATTGGGACGGGGGAGTAGTACTTAAAAAGTCCTTTCTTTTAAGTAGCAATACACATTTGATTGATAAGTAGACTTTTCGAACAACTTTTTTGCATACATTATTCAATATCGTGCATTTCTCTATTTTACAAGTCTTCAAGTGTTTTTCATTTGTAAATGTATGTGTTTTTCTGTAATATTTTGATGAGTAGTATGCTTGCATAACTAAGGACTTACAAATTATTGACTATAATTGGCATTTGATACAGAAAATTGCCTACTTTTGTTGAGTATGTAATGTGTTGTTCACTTCAAATGCGCGCGATTGCTTTTCTGATGCAGATGGAATGGGGACAGCAGAATGGAGAGCTGCAAAGAGTCCAGCTTATTACAAAAGAGGAGATTATGTTCCTGGTCTGAAGGTACAGTGAATTACAACTTGCAACTCTTTTTTGTTAACACTTGTTGAGAAAAGTCAGATTATTTTGCTTTGTTTTCTCTTTTATTTTTGGGAGCTGATAGTGATGTGCTAGTAATACTCAACTAAACATTTCTTGTTAAATCTTGGATAAAGTAAAACCTGTTTAACTTTGAATTGATTTTACTTATCAAAAAGCAGTTGAAGATGTCTCTTTAATTTGAAGCCAGACTCTAGGCTTTCATATGAGCTCTGATTTTTTATTTTAAATGGAGTTGAATTTTCCATGGTGAATGAAAGGTATCTTACAAATGTAGATAGCAAGTTATGTTGTCCTTGCTCATGACCCCCTACTTTTGGTGCTCTGGTTCTAAGCGACTCCACTTCTGTTGCATGCTCAAGCAAGGAAAGAGTCATTTCCTGGTATGTTAAACTCTGGAGAACGATGTATGGCCACTGAATTAAGTGAAACTAGCCTTACAAATATTGAAGGAAGTTTAAATATGATGTGTCATTTTGAGGAAAGTCCCTTAAAATAGTGTATAGGAATTGTCTTGACTATAAAAAAGGGGAAAAAAGAAAGAAAAGAAGGATGCCTTTTGACTTCTAACAGTATAAGGGTATCCTTCACTTTAATAAGTTATGGTATTGTTTAGGGGTGACAATTTGAGCCCAAACCCATTTGACCCGCCTAACCTGCCCAAGGTTGGGTGGGTCCATTTGTTGAACTCAACCATCTTGAGCCAACCCATTTCCCATCTAAAGTTGGGTTAATTTTAGGAACAAATTGATCATGACTAACTTTGCTAAAATATCTTAAAAATTACTTTTTTTGGTTGACCGTAACAAAATTTTAAAAGTCTTATTTGATAATTAAACAATTCATAAGAAAACAATACACATTAATTAAAGCTTGGTAAGAGTTGGGCAGGTTGGGCTACGACCCAAATTTTAGCCCAACTTGACCCAGCCATCTCAACCCAGTTACTTTTGGGCGGGTTATTGACCTGCCCATTTATTGACTCAGCCCATTTTGACCTACCCAAAATCAGCCCAACTTGCTTATTTGACACTCCTAGTATTGTTAATGCCATGCCTTGCTATATATAAGAATAGTACTGTATAAAATATTGATTAGTTATACATAGGTCGAAAAATACTATCAAGGAATTAACAACACCCAAAGCTAATACATGTATTTTTTCCCCTAATATATCCTATCAAACGATCCGATAAAGTAATAGATTTCTTGGATGTAGAAGAATTGCTAGTCAATAAAAAGTACTATTTCATAATGCAAGATTGAATTTTCTTGGGAAATCGTGTTCTTGGAAATGCTATGATGATTATGGTTTATTATGAGCTAAATGTTCAAAAAATACAAAGGAATGAGGTTCTGCCCAAAAAGAGAAAAAGAGCGAGTTGAATTATTGTTGTTTTAGAATGCTAAAGTTGCCCAATCAGTGTACAAACATTAAGAAGGTTGTTGACAATATTGAGTATACCTTATTTACTCCAAAAGTCAACAATCTTGGGGCAGCCCTATTTCCAAAAGAACAAAAATTGTCAATATTGATCCCCATTGGAATTTTGAAGAGATTTTTTATCGTTGCTAAGATGTTAAACTCTGGAGAATGATGTATGGCCACTGAATTAAGTGCAACTAGCTTCCCAAATATTGTAGAAAGTCTGAATATGATGTGTGTCATTTTGAGGAAAGTCCCCTGAAACTAGTGTACAGGAGTTGCCTTGATTATCAAAAAAGGAAAAAAAAGAAAGAAAAGAAGGATGCCTTTTGACTTCTGACAGAATAAGGGTATCCTTCACTTTGATAAGTTATTTGTGGGGCTGTGGACGTAGTGCATGATCGTGGCTCACATCTATGAGAACTAGGATGATTGCTTGATGTATGGTTCAAATGCTAAATTACCTATATGCTATTTCTACCGGGGATCCCAGTATTCCTAGATTATGTAGAAAATTGTATGAGTTTTACAGGGCAGGTCTAACAAAAAAAAAGAGAGAGAGAGAGAGAGAGAGAGGGAGAGAG